ATCAAATTTTTTATGTAAAAAATTTATTAAAATTACTTGCTCCTAAAGAGAAATTAGAGAAGAAAATTTAATACTGTTTCAAATTAGGTTTAAAGATAATGATTTCCAATTTTTAGGATTTTTAAATCAAATTTTTTATTGTTTCTTATTAGAAAATAAATATATATAAGACATAAGTACCAAGTGGTTTTCAAAAAACAATTTTTAAGGAAATAATGACATTTTGTGTCCAGTTTTGTGTCCATTATTGCTAAAAAGGTTTTGCTATATTAGTTTGTATTGATGTATTTAGTTTTCTGTTTATTGTGATCTGATTTTTTGTATATTCTCTTGGTTTATAGCATTTTTGTGTATGGTTACATTACTTTATTTATAATTCTTTACTTTCCCAAACGCTGTCTGCTCTCTGTAACAGCTGTTCCTAATTCCCTCTCCTTAATTTACCTGCATTTAATGTAGTTTGCTCTATAAACTCAATGGTTGTCATTGTTCTTTGATGGTTCATCAGCTCTTTACTGCTTAATCCTGCTCTAGTCTAGCCTATGTATTTCTGTTTTTGGATCAACTGATAAATTAGATTACTTACCCTCATGTATCAGAGGTTCATCTGTCTGTGAAGCAGCCAATCAACATTCAGCTGCACCTCCTCGTAATTCAATCAGTATCCAAAGTCCAGCTTAAAAAGACCTTCATGTCCAAAGCTTAGACTGCTACCCAACAAGGTTTTATAAGTTGGATCTGAGTGTTTGATTCTGATGAACCTGGTTCAACCCTCCTCCACCCCCTTCTGCACCATCATCATAAGCTCCATCTAGCTCCTTCTCTATGCCGCTGCCTATCCCTTTTGAACTGTTCCCTTGGACTCATACTGCATTCATCCCCACATTTTGAGCCTGATTCTGCAGAGATTTCTTCCCATAGCAGATTTTGTTTCCCTCCACCGTAACTTCATGCTTGCTCATCAGGGAGGTTCTTATGAATTTGTGTCCAGCTGGCATCCATCTTCATACCATCTCTGTTCCACCATCAGTTTCAGGCCTGGGGGGAATTCCTCCCTGTTCTCATTCAGCAGGTCATGCATATAATCAAAATCAATTTTGGTGTTAATGTACCCCGTTGAGGCCTGAGCGCCAAAGACTTAAAACATTGTATGAATAAAATTCTTCTAATTGTCTTCCTTCTTTCAAGATTTTTTCAGGTTAAATTAAACATCTTTAATTTATGTTCCACCTCTGCTTGTGTTTAGGTTCTTCACAACCATCAAATCTTTTTGTGACAAATTGGAACAACTATACTATAGGTCAAAAAAATGCAACCCTTATGACATGTTAAAAATAAAATCTCAGAGAATTATTTAAGGTTGATATTAGGCCCAAGTAGCTGAGGAAAGTTAGATCTTTTTTTATAATGTTTATTATTATGGTCACGTGTCTGCAGAGGTTTGGATTTTATAGAACTCCATTTTAGCAATAATGTCCACAATAAAATTAATATCAATCAAATATGAAACAAAAAATATTTTGCTCAATTCAAACACATTTTATGAGAATCATTTGAAAACCTTTGCAATTTAGTTTTGGTTAAACGTTTTTTATGGTATTCCAATGTTTTCAAAGTTTTCTGCACTACTATGTGCAAAGTCCATTTATAGCATAATTTCTTTTGGTAAGGCAAAGGTAAGGGTTAGAATATTTTTCCCATAAAAGGACAGACATGGAGTTTGAATGGGGAGAAGAAAGAGAGTAGAAAAGGCGGCTGAAGAAAGATGAGACAGAGTAAAGAAGCAGTGGGGGTGCTGAAGCACGAATAAAGCTGTGTCGTGTCAGTTCTTTAACAAGCACTCACTTCTGATCCATGAATCCAGTAGAATGTTCTTTTTAAAGAACATCAACCTAAAAGCATGTCCTTTATCTCTGTTTTGATGTTAAAAGGACAGTTTTATACAGAAGTTAATATTTTGGCAGACCCTCATTTGCAGAGCAGTGTCAGGTTTGGGCTGATCATTTAGATGGATGAAGAAAAGGGATTTTTTTTATTGTCATCATAGCAAAAAGTTGTTTGAATCGAGTTTTTCGTTAGTGGTGCAAAATCTTTCTCTTTCAGAGAACTGACTTGGCTCCCAAGGAGGAACAGACTCCTTTAACGCTCATCTGACAAACTCTTATTTTAGCTTAACTTAGCAAATATAAATGTTTTGTATGTTAATAGATCATTTTGCATTTAGTGTTTTTTATGAGAAGCCTTATACTTGCCCAACTGTATGTATATGTTACGAAAGAAGCATTTCTTTTCAATACAATTTTATTTACATTTCTATTATTTAACACAAAATTTGCAAATCACTGTGAACAAAATCAACAGAAGCAAACTCCGACTGGTTATGGAGTCTGCTATGATCCTATATCACCACATGTGATTGGCTGTAAGTCTCCCATGTTCTCAGTCAAAACTAAGTTCTGCTGCGGGCAGGGAGGGATGCCACTGAGTAAGCACTGAGCAGTAAAAGAAAAGAAAAAAGGGACACTGTCGCTCACTCAATGGGAGTCAGCTCTTCTGATTCACTGCAAAGCATCACCTCTCAGAGTCAATGCTTATGAGCATGAACCATCACAACCCCTGGTCTCTCAGTTTTCAGTTGATGCTTTAACCTGCTTTAACTTTTTTGCCAACACTAATGAGCTTGGTATATTATGTTTTCAAAAAATAAAACATTTTGTAATGTATGTATTTTGTATTTTTCTCTCTTGCAAAACAGGATTATAAGAGTTACTGAAAAACAGTGCTGGTGAAAGTTTGTAGGCTGTAAAAGATTTTACCAAAATACACAGAAATGTATTTGTTTTCAAGTTTAGTTATGTTAGGTAGGGCGAACCCATCCCTTACTGTAACACATAAACCTAAAGAACAACTGGTAAACATGTAACCACACACTCTGAAAGCTATGAACAATAACTTTATAGGCTTAAGGTTTTTCTTTTTTTATTTGTGGCAGGTCACAGGTCGCAGATGGGCGTCAATCTATGAGGAGAGGAGTTTCCCCTTAATTGTAGCATGTGACATGCAGGTATCAGTATCTCAGGAGTTGGGAGTTAGAATATGGAGCCTAGGTGGAAGTTCAACTGAAGAAACTCATTATTCTTCATACCTCCACCTGCAACACAGTCAATCAGCTTTAAACCGAAACTCCACGAAAGCCAATCGGCATCCAAAGTTCATCTTAAAAGGCCTCAGATATGCATCTGTCTGCTCCTGTTTGCAGGTGGTGGATGCACTTCATTCAAATGACACCGTTTCAACCCATCTCCAGCCCTTTCTACACCTTAGTAGCTAAAGCTTCATCAGAGTGTCATTTCTCCCAGACTCTTAGGGCCGGATTTATCAAGATCCAATTTTGCGTGCAGTAATTTGCGCTCGCAAAGTGGAATTTTGCGCGAGGGGCTGAACCATGGTTTGCGGGTGATTTAACAAGA